AAGGCTACGTTTACATTGAAATTAATCACCGTATCACTGTATCAGAAATGATTTGCGTCCAGACACGTCCTTTCTGTGTCCGTAAGTCTTCCCTATCCACACAGCTTTGAGCACATTGGTTTACGCATTACAGAAACTAAACTTAAAACCACATGGCTCATTTGCATAAACTGAGCGGTCAAATAAACAGTTCGCTATCGTACGCTGATACGGTTCAGCTTCTGTCAGAGCAAAGGACACGACTCAGTGGAATATGAGTGTTCGTTCTGTGACAGAGGGGTGTTCTGCTGATGGTGAGTCTGTTCTGTGTTTATATCGCCATGGAGATGGTTCATGTTAAACTTTTCAGAGAGTATACGTCTGCAGGTTGTACGCATTGACTGTATTTTCCGCACTATTAGTCGCGCTGGATTATAAGGCGCATCGAAAGGTCTATTTTCGAACTTTTTTCACAAATAAACCGCGTGGGACTTTAAAGGAAACCCAACAGTGTGATGGGTGAGTGGTTTTGTTTGTTTGGTGCGTTCACGGTGACTCTGGGCTTTGTTCAGTTGTGGCGTGTAGGGAGGGTGCTGTCTGGGAGCGCTGGATTGTCGGCGTGTTCGCAGTGACTCAGTTGTTCAGTCGTGTCTAGAAGTGGCACATTGCGCTCACTTTTTCGGTTCGTTCCTCTGTTCCGTTCCTCGTCGGCGTGGAGTGATGAGTGTGGCTGCGGGTGTTTTTCGCTGTCCGGTCGCTGTCTGCTCTGTGTGTGTTTGCGGCTTTGTAGTTTACTAAAGTCGTGCTGGGACATCCGAGTGGATTCGTGTATAGGGCGCTCTGGATTGTGGGGCGCAGTTGTTTTTTGATGGGGTTGGAGGCTTAAGAGCGCGTCTAATAGCCCGGAAAATACGGTATATGAATGGACGTATATTCTTAGTGTTTTGGCGGTGAATTACTTTGCACAGACCTACATCAGCGTATCAGTGTTTTCAGGCGTCCACACAGTGTCGGATCAGATCTGTGCTCAGATGAATTCGTGAGAGCTGGAGGAACCAGATCATTCCGTCTCTGGAGCTGTTTTCCATCAGATTAGTGTAGACAGACACTACATCCACAACGGAAACAACTCGAATACGAACTAGTGTGAAAGGGGTCAAAGTTGCTGAAACGATGTGTGAGCCAAGCAGCTACAAAATCAACCAACAACACCATCACCACGAGCAAAACGATAATGAATGATTGACTAGCAGTAGCTTAGTTTGTTTCGCTTCTGACGGGGTTTGAAAGAAAAAGATTTATTATCATCTTTCTTTATGGACAAATAATGGGATTATTTATCAAAGAGGAGCAGTTCATGTGTGTTCAGGTAGCTGTAATGAAATGTTCAGAAGAGCATCTACAACACCCAGGCTACTAGTCAAAGGCTGAGTGACACTCTGACCTCACGGAGCATAGAACGAATGAGCTGTTGGATTTATGGTCTTATACTTCATGGACACACCGGATGGCGACCTGTGTGAAAGTAGTCGGGTGGTGAAGACAGCAGCGGTGAGTGAGGAGCTGGTGTAATCATCTGTGCTATGTAGAGTCACTTGGACAGATAAAGAAAATTATAGTAGTTTGTCACACTTAGAATTATTGTTGTTTGAGAAAGTGCAGTAAGTATGTCTATAGCTCTTCAAATTATTTTCCTTTACCAATAACACCATAATTCAGCCTTTTCATTGTAAAACACAAAGAAAATTTCAGTCTTTTACCAAGACAAAGCAACTATTCTCCTGGTCTGGCCAGGCCGGTGTATAAGATTTCATACACTGGTCTATTTTTTTGAAATTTTATCCCAACACATTGAACAAATAAGGCCACTCGATCTTATCAAACTCTGATCTTGCATCTAAGACACAAAAGAGTCACATCTCTGGTTTCATTTGTTCAAAGAAGGCTCTGTGCACTGTAGGCGCCCAGGGGCCAGAGCACCCACACAAATCAGAATTTTCACCTCAATTTTCCCTGATCTTAAATTTACAATATTTTTGGGAGTGCACGCTTACAATGAGCGTTTAAGGCCTATTCATACTTCATGAAAACATAAGAACTTTGTTCTTGCACCCAGGGCTGGCCCAACAAAATGACATGTCATTTTGTTCAGCTAATGCCAGCTCCAGTTTTGCAGTTCTTGCTGCTTGTTCTCGACACACAGCTGAACTTTGTTCGGCAGGTCGGCAGTGCTGTCCGACATCTTCGTTCTGATTGGTTATTTATGTGGTTGTGGTTTATCTGTTTCCTCGCCTGTGCGGAGCAAGAAAAAAAAAGGATGGTTTTGAGTCACAGCTGGGGGAAATGGTGAGAAAATACAAACATTTATACGACAGGATGTTCAATGATTATAAAGACGGCAAATGGAGCTCAAGGTGCTCATGGTTGTTTGTATTTTTCCTTTGTTTATAAAACATATAAGTTTTGAGCTTGTGCATTTATAAGATTGTGTCAAGAAACCAGGATATTACATTTGATCATGTACACAGGGATATGATATGTGTTCACCGGCTGCGTCCAAACTCATATCCACACAGGGCAGAAGGTGCAGCAGGTGTTGTCCTTTAAATACCTTGGGACTGAAATTGACACTGCCTTGCCATTTAAGCAGTATGCTGACTCAGTCTACAATAAAAGACAGCAGCACCTCCACCCACTGAGGAAACACTGATCATTTCATACATAAGGAAGTTTCAACTTGGAGAGACAAAGAAAGTATTTTTATTGAATGAGTATCTTTGGCATTCAGACTCTAGCAGAAGACATTGTGATGAAGTGTCTGAATGATTACATGACGCTTAGGACACTGGAGGTGGTGACGGTGAGGCCGACGAGAGTGAAGGGGACGATGAGATGATGAGGAGAGTGAAGAGGACGATGAGATGAGATGAGAAGAGAAGAAGGTGGGGCATGGCACAAACTTAAGTGTCTGTGCACCTGCAATGGGGGTTAAAGTGCGTTTCTCCCCACTAGTTTTCACACCACTAGTTCGATTATTTGGTCCACACCAGGAAATAACATTTTTATTATGTAGCATATAGACTCTAGTGTGGTCCGCTTTCACACCGGCAGATGAACCAAAATTGGTCCGATGACCTTTCATCAGTGTTTATCTTCTGGTAGAAATAAGCGCCCATTTTGGGGTCAGCTGACGTTCCCCAGTACCCCTGTTCCCCTGGGAAACATCGGTAACTCCAACACCGGTAAAGACATGGGAGAACTCATTGTGGCACGCAGCCCCTCAGGCCCGGGGCTCTGGTCCTTGGTCTTGTGCCGTCCTCCGAGTGCGTTGGTCAGATTGGTCAGGAGGCTCCTTCCTCCGTGTCCTGGACTGGGTCCGACCGAGTCCATGCCGTCCGTGGTTCCGTGCGGCGAAAGTGAGAATGCGCTGGGGACTACAGGTCCAGGCGGGCTGCTCCTGTCCTCTGTGCTTGAGGACTGTGGCTGGTTCCGAAGTGGTGCAAAGCATCCAGCGTGAATCCGGTTTGGTTCGTTATATGTTGTTCTGAGCGGTCCATCCTCCGTGCACTGGGTCCTTCCCGGGTAAGCGCTTCTCAGGCCGAGGCACCTAACACCACTCCTCACTCCATGTCATCTGAGCCTGACCTGAACCAGGGCTGCTCCTGCTGGTTCAGGACTCTGGTTTGGATCTGGTCTGACTGTAGACTGTATTTCTCACACTAAATTGCCTTTTGCCATAAAATTATTTGGATAATTAATAGCTTAAAATAACAAATGCTGGCTGTTACATGAACACTGGGAACACTGGAACCTCTCTGAGCATGCAGGTCCCAGTGCGTACCTATGTACACACCCCCAATCTTGACTCACTATGGAGCGACACGTTTGCACATTGGTACTTGCTCTGATCTTTGTATATTACATTCTCTGTAGAGCATTCCCTGAATTTCATCAAAAACAAGTAAAGCTGCCCACATGATAAATCACAACACCATCAGAAGACACAGGAAGCAGCCGAAACATGTGAAGCATGTAAACAAAACTCTCCTGTCTGACTAAAAGAATCACTAATTCTAAATGTACTTCAGCCTAATTTAGCAGAAACTGACTATTTAGTTTGTGAAAAATGTGCAGAAGGTAAGCTCTGTGTGCATTTGTGGACAGGAAAGTAGCTCTGTCATGATAATTACAATATCGACTTATCGTTGAATATATGAAAACTTGAATAATATTTTTTGTAGGTCAGTAACTATTGTGTTTTTTTTTTTTTTTTTTTTTTTTTTTTGTGGCTATATTATGAGATTTAAGACATAAAATGTTAAATTAATACTGTAACTTCTATGACTCATTACAGATGCAAACTAACTTCAATGTTATTGTTGAATTGTCTATATTTACTTCAAAAATGTATCAGACTTCAACATTTTTTCATCATGACAGGACTACAGGGAAGATGTCTGTGGTTTGACATTTGAGATATTACAGCTTTTTTTTTTTTTTACACCAAATGTGGCAGAAAACCTTCCAGAGGAAATACTTTGAGGGACTGGACCATTTCGTCTCCAACTGAAACACTAGAGCAGAGTAAGAGTGAGGCCTTTCCTGTTGTGTTTACATGGCGCCCCCTGGAGGCTGCTGTGACACTGCAGGACACAGAGGAGGGACACTTTTGACTCTTCCTCTCCTCAAACTGCCCTGATACAGATCTGCTCACCCTCCCTGACCAGTCCTCCTGTGAAACTGACCTGAGACCTTTGACCGAGACACAGAGGTCTCTGAAAAAAGCTGTGGAAATATAAATAAAGTGTCTCTCTCTCTCTCTCAGTCTCTCAACTGTATGTAACAAAAGTTAGATTTCTCATCTGGTTTCACTTTTGTAATTGTTGGTTCCATTCAGCTTCAGCCAAAGCCATTTCAGTTTGATGTGCAGAACTAAACACAGAGGATCACACATTAATCTAGTGAGAGTCAGGTCAGTGTTGTTGACCTATCAGCAATTCAGCTGTGATATAAAAGTGAAATTCTTTGTTAAAATAAATATTTATTATCATATGTACAAATACAAAACAATACAGAAGAATAAATAACACAAATACTTCAAACTCAGAGGCATCTCTGAGACTTCACTGAAAAGTGTTGAAGCTTTTACTGCCCGCAGTAGACTGGACTTTTTTAACATGTGGAATAATAAACAAGATCTGAAACTGACGTCTGGACATCAAAAGATGTGAATACAATTTACACAGAATAAATAGTCAGATTTATAAGTTTCTTAAATACATGTCATACACAAAGAATAATACAAACTGTAAAACACAAGAACTTCAACACATTTGTGTTTCAGTTAAAACAGAAGCATCAGGATGAGTCCCAGAAGAGAATGGACCAAGCTCAATCTCACCAAAGACACAGCTGAGGAGGCAGTAGTTGTAGTAGTAGTAGTAGTAGTAGTCGTAGTAGTAGCAGTAGCGGCTGGGACGGCTGCCTGGGTTGTACTTGTAGCTGAAAAAGAGAAGAAAAACATGAATAACCTGGAGTGAGCAACATTTATAGTGTAATTTAAACACACATTAATGGTTTAAACGCTGAATGTGTATTTTGTACCTGGTTTGGTCGTTGTAGTAGTTGGTGCTGTAGTAGTAGTAGTAGTAGTAGTTGGGGATATAGTAGTAGTTCGTACTCCAGTAGTAGTAGTTGGTACTTCAGTAATAGTAGTTGGTACTACAGTTGTAGTGGTTGGTACTGCAGTAGTAGTTGGTACTACAGTAGCTGTAGTTGGTACTCCAGTAGTAGTAATTGGTACTACAGTTGTAGCAGTTGGGGCTACAGAAGTAGTAGTTGGGGCTGCAGTAGTAGTAGTTGGTACTACAATTGTAGTGGTTGGTACGGCAGTAGTAGTTGGTACTACAGTAGTTGTAGATGGTACTCCAGTAGTAGTAATTGGTACTACAGTTGTAGTAGTTGGGGCCACAGTAGTAGTAGTTGGGGCTGCAGTAGTAGTAGTTGGGGCTGCAGTAGTAGTTGGGGCTACAGTAGTAGTAGTTGGGGCAGCAGTTGTAGTAGTTGGGGCTGCAGTAGTAGTAGTTGGGGCTGCAGTTGTAGTAGTAGTTGGGGCTGCAGTAGTAGTAGTAGTTGGGGCTCCAGTTGTAGTAGTAGTTGGGCCTGCAGTAGTAGTAGTTGGGGGTGCAGTAGTAGTAGTAGTTGGGGCTACAGTAGTAGTAGTTGGGCCTGCAGTAGTAGTAGTTGGGCCTGCAGTAGTAGTAGTTGGGGGTGCAGTAGTAGTAGTTGGGGCTGCAGTAGTAGTAGTTGGGGCTGCAGTTGTAGTAGTAGTTGGGGCTGCAGTAGTAGTAGTTGGGCCTGCAGTAGTAGTAGTCGGGGCTGCAGTAGTAGTAGTTGGGGCTGCAGTTGTAGTAGTAGTTGGGGCTATAGTAGTAGTAGTTGGGGCTGCAGTTGTAGTAGTTGGGGCTGCAGTAGTAGTTGGGGGTGCAGTAGTAGTAGTAGTTGGGGCTACAGTTGTAGTAGTTGGGGCTGCAGTAGTAGTAGTTGGAGTTGCAGTAGTAGTAGTTGGGGCTACAGTAGTAGTAGTTGGTGCTGCAGTAGTAGTAGTTGGTGCTGCAGTAGTAGTAGTAGTTGGTGCTGCAGTAGTAGTAGTTGGTGCTGCAGTAGTAGTAGTTGGTGTGCTGCAAGTAGTAGTAGTGGTGCTGCAGTTGTAGTAGTTTGGGGCTGCTGCAGTAGTAGTAGTTGGGGCTGCAGTTGTAGTAGTAGTTGGGGCTGCAGTTGTAGTAGTTGGGGCTGCAGTAGTAGTAGTTGGGGCTGCAGTTGTAGTAGTAGTTGGGGCTGCAGTTGTAGTAGTTGGGGCTGCAGTAGTAGTAGTTGGGGCTGCAGTTGTAGTAGTTGGGGCTGCAGTTGTAGTAGTTGGGGCTGCAGTAGTAGTAGTTGGGGCTGCAGTTGTAGTAGTTGGGGCTGCAGTTGTAGTAGTTGGGGCTGCAGTAGTAGTAGTAGTTGGGGCTGCAGTAGTAGTAGTTGGGGCTGCAGTTGTAGTAGTTGGGGCTGCAGTAGTAGTAGTTGGTGCTGCAGTAGTAGTAGTTGGTGCTGCAGTAGTAGTAGTTGGGGCTGCAGTAGTAGTAGTTGGGGCTGCAGTAGTAGTAGTTGGTGCTGCAGTTGTAGTAGTTGGGGCTGCAGTTGTAGTAGTTGGGGCTGCAGTAGTAGTAGTTGGGGCTGCAGTAGTAGTAGTTGGGGCTGCAGTAGTAGTAGTAGTAGTGGGGCTGCAGTAGTAGTAGTTGGGGCTGCAGTAGTAGTAGTTGGTGCTGCAGTAGTAGTAGTTGGTGCTGCAGTTGTAGTAGTTGGGGCTACAGTTTTAGTAGTTGGGGCTGCAGTCGTAGTAGTAGTTGGGGCTGCAGTAGTAGTAGTTGGGGCTGCAGTAGTAGTAGTTGGTGCTGCAGTAGTAGTAGTTGGGGCTAAAGTAGTAGTAGTTGGGGCTGCAGTAGTAGTAGTTGGGGCTGCAGTAGTAGTAGTTGGGGCTGCAGTTGTAGTAGTTGGTGCTGCCGTAGTAGTTGGGGCTGCAGTTGTAGTAGTTGGTGCTGCAGTAGTAGTTGGGGCTGCAGTTGTAGTAGTTGGGGCTGCAGTAGTAGTAGTTGGTGCTGCAGTAGTAGTAGTTGGGGCTGCAGTAGTAGTAGTTGGTGCTGCAGTAGTAGTAGTTGGGGCTGCAGTAGTAGTAGTAGTAGTAGTTGGGGCTGCAGTAGTAGTAGTTGGGGCTGCAGTAGTAGTAGTTGGTGCTGCAGTAGTAGTAGTTGGGGCTGCAGTAGTAGTAGTTGGGCTGCAGTAGTAGTAGTTGGGGTGTAGTGGGCTGCAGTAGTAGTAGTTGGGGCTGCAGTAGTAGTAGTAGTTGGGGCTGCAGTTGTAGTAGTAGTTGGTGCTGCAGTAGTAGTAGTTGGGGCTGCAGTAGTAGTAGTTGGTGCTGCAGTAGTAGTTGGGGCTGCAGTAGTAGTAGTTGGTGCTGCAGTAGTAGTTGGGGCTGCAGTTGTAGTAGTTGGGGCTGCAGTAGTAGTAGTTGGTGCTGCAGTAGTAGTAGTTGGGGCTATAGTAGTAGCAGTTGGTGCTGCAGTAGTAGTAGTTGGGGCTGCAGTAGTAGTAGTTGGAGCTGCAGTTGTAGTAGTTGGGGCTGCAGTAGTAGTTGGAGCAGCAGTAGTAGTAGTTGGAGCTGCAGTAGTAGTAGTTGGAGTTGCAGTTGTAGTAGTTGGGGCTGCAGTAGTAGTGGTAGTTGGAGCTGCAGTAGTAGTAGTTGGTGCTGCAGTAGTAGTAGTAGTTGGTGCTGCAGTAGTAGTAGTTGGTGCTGCAGTTGTAGTAGTTGGGGCTGCAGTAGTAGTAGTTGGTGCTGCAGTTGTAGTAGTTGGTGCTGCAGTTGTAGTAGTTGGTGCTGCAGTAGTAGTAGTTGGGGCTGCAGTAGTAGTAGTTGGAGCTGCAGTTGTAGTAGTTGGGACTGCAGTAGTAATTGGAGCAGCAGTAGTAGTAGTTGGGGCTACAGTAGTAGTAGTTGGTGCTGCAGTAGTAGTAGTTGGAGTTGCAGTTGTAGTAGTTGGGGCTGCAGTAGCAGTGGTAGTTGGAGCAGCAGTAGTAGTAGTTGGGGCTACAGTAGTAGTAGTTGGTGCTGCAGTAGTAGTAGTTGGTGCTGCAGTAGTAGTAGTTGGTGCTGCAGTAGTAGTAGTTGGTGCTGCAGTAGTAGTAGTTGGTGCTGCAGTAGTAGTAGTTGGGGGCTGCAGTAGTAGTAGTTGGGGCTGCAGTAGTAGTGGTAGTTGGAGCTGCAGTAGTAGTAGTTGGTGCTGCAGTTGTAGTAGTTGGGGCTGCAGTAGTAGTAGTTGCTGCAGTAGTAGTAGTTGGAGCTACAGTAGTAGTAGTTGGTGCTGCAGTAGTAGTAGTTGGTGCTGCAGTAGTAGTAGTTGGGGCTGCAGTAGTAGTAGTTGGTGCTGCAGTAGTAGTAGTAGTAGTTGGTGCTGCAGTAGTAGTAGTTGGTGCTGCAGTAGTAGTAGTTGGGGCTGCAGTAGTAGTAGTAGTTGGGGCTGCAGTAGTAGTAGTTGGGGCTGCAGTAGTAGTAGTCGGGGCTGCAGTTGTTGTAGTAGTTGGGGCTGCAGTTGTAGTAGTTGGGGCTGCAGTAGTAGTAGTTGGGGCTGCAGTTGTAGTGGTAGTTGGAGCTGCAGTTGTAGTAGTTGGGGCTGCAGTAGTAGTAGTTGGGGCTACAGTAGTAGTAGTTGGTGCTACAGTTGTAGTAGTTGGAGCTGCAGTAGTAGTAGTTGGGGCTACAGTAGTAGTAGTTGGGGCTGCAGTTGTAGTAGTTGGGGCTGCAGTAGTAGTAGTTGGGGCTGCAGTTGTAGTAGTTGGTGCTGCAGTAGTAGTAGTTGGGGCTGCAGTAGTAGTAGTTGGTGCTGCAGTTGTAGTAGTTGGGGCTACAGTAGTAGTAGTTGGGGCTGCAGTAGTAGTAGTTGGTGCTGCAGTAGTCGTAGTTGGCGCTGCAGTAGTAGTAGTTGGTGCTGCAGTAGTAGTTGGAGCAGCAGTAGTAGTAGTTGGGGCTACAGTAGTAGTAGTTGGGGCTACAGTCGTAGTTGGAGCAGCAGTAGTAGTAGTTGGGGCTACAGTAGTAGTAATTGGGGCTGCAGTAGTCGTAGTTGGTGCTGCAGTAGTAGTAGTAGTTGGTGCTGCAGTAGTAGTAGTTGGTGCTGCAGTCGTAGTAGTTGGGGCTGCAGTTGTAGTAGTAGTTGGGGCTGCAGTAGTAGTAGTTGGGGCTGCAGTAGTAGTAGTAGTTGGGGCTACAGTTGTAGTAGTTGGTGCTGCAGTTGTAGTAGTAGTTGGGGCTGCAGTAGTAGTAGTTGGTGCTGCAGTAGTAGTAGTTGGTGCTGCAGTAGTAGTAGTTGGTGCTGCAGTAGTAGTAGTTGGTGCTGCAGTCGTAGTAGTTGGGGCTGCAGTAGTAGTAGTAGTTGGGGCTGCAGTAGTAGTAGTAGTTGGTGCTGCAGTAGTAGTAGTAGTAGTTGGGGCTGCAGTAGTAGTAGTAGTTGGTGCTGCAGTAGTAGTAGTTGGTTGCTGCAGTAGTAGTAGTTGGGCTGCAGTAGTAGTAGTTAGGTGCTGCAGTAGTAGTAGTAGGGGCTGCAGTAGTAGTAGTAGTGTGCTGCAGTAGTAGTAGTTGTGCTGCAGTAGTAGTAGTTGGTGCTGCAGTAGTAGTAGTTGGGCTGCAGTAGTAGTAGTAGTTGGTGCTGCAGTAGTAGTAGTAGTTTGGTGCTGCAGTAGTAGTAGTAGTTGGTGCTTGCAGTAGTAGTAGTTGGTGCTGCAGTAGTAGTAGTTGGTGCTGCTAGTAGTAGTAGTAGTGGTGCTGCAGTAGTAGTAGTTGGGGCTGCAGTAGTAGTAGTAGTTGGGGCTGCAGTAGTAGTAGTTGGTGCTGCAGTAGTAGTAGTAGTTGGGGCTGCAGTCGTAGTAGTTGGGGCTGCAGTAGTAGTAGTAGTTGGGGCTGCAGTAGTAGTAGTTGGTGCTGCAGTAGTAGTAGTTGGTGCTGCAGTCGTAGTAGTTGGGGCTGCAGTAGTAGTAGTAGTTGGGGCTGCAGTAGTAGTAGTTGGTGCTGCAGTAGTAGTAGTTGGAGCTGCAGTCGTAGTAGTTGGGGCTGCAGTAGTAGTAGTAGTTGGTGCTGCAGTAGTAGTAGTTGGTGCTGCAGTAGTAGTAGTAGTTGGGGCTGCAGTTGTAGTAGTTGGTGCTGCAGTAGTAGTAGTTGGTGCTGCAGTAGTAGTAGTTGGTGCTGCAGTAGTAGTAGTTGGGGCTGCAGTAGTAGTAGTTTGGTGCTGCAGTAGTAGTAGTTGGTGCTGCAGTAGTAGTAGTAGGTGGTGCAGTAGTAGTAGTTGGTAGTAGTAGTAGTTGGTTGCTGCAGTAGTAGTAGTTGGTGCTGCAGTAGTAGTAGTAGTAGTGGTGCTGCAGTAGTAGTAGTTGGTTGCAGTAGTAGTAGTAGTTGGTGCTGCAGTAGTAGTAGTTGGTGCTGCAGTA